ACATAATATATTAATGGTTTTTCTTTTTCCTTCTTTTTTTTTTTTTTTTCAGAGACAGAGTCTCCCTCTGTTGCCCAGGCTGAAGTGCAGTGGTGTGATCATAGCTCACTGCAGCCTTGAACTTCTGGGCTCAAGTGATCCTCCCACTGCAGCCTCCTGAGTAGCTGGGATTATAGGCACTTGCCATCATGCCCAGCTAATTTTTTTTCTTTTTGTGGAGATGGGATTTTGCTATGTTGCCCAATCTAGTCTCAAACTCCTTGCCTCAAGCAATCCTCCCACCTTGGCCTCCCAAACTTCTGGGATTATAAGTGTGAGCCACCACACCCAGTCTGCTTTAACACTTATAAAGTACTTTAGTATATTATACACGTGTTAAAATTTTTATCCCTCTCTTATATATGAGGCAATTAAAGTCACAGAAGAGAAGTTACTGAAATTGCTTACATAAAATTAATTTAGGGCCAAGGGTAAAACTGTAGAAGAGAACTGAGCCCTGCAAAGACGCAACCAACTCTTGGCTTTGTTGATCCCCCCCCACCCCTTTTTTTTTTTAATTTATTGTAGAGATGAGGTCTTACCAAGTTGCCCAGACTAGTCTCGAACCTACAGGCTCAGGCAATCCCCTCACCTTGGCCTCCCAAAGTCCTGGGATTATAAACGTAAGCCACTGCACCCAGCTACTTTGTTGATTTTCTCTAGTGTTTTTATGCTATTTCATTCATTTCTGCTCTAATCTTCATTGTTTTTTCTTTATGCTTACTTTTGGTTTAGTTTGCTCTTCTGTCTAGTAGTTGCTTCAGGTGAAAGGTTAGGTGATTGATTTGAGATTTTTCTTCATTTTTAAATATAGGTGTTTAAAGCTATAAATTTCATTCTAAGCACTGATTTTGCTATGTCCCGTAAATTTTGGTATGTTGTATTTATATTTGCTTATCTCAAAGTGTTTCTAATTTTTCTTGTGATTTCTTCTTTAACACATGTGTTATGTAGGAGTATATTGTTTAATTTCTATATATTTGTGAATTTTCAAAATATATTTTTCTTATTGATTTCTAATTTTACTCCATTTTGGTCAGAGAATATACTCTGTATAATTTCAATCCCTTTAAGTTTATGAATGCTTGTTTATGGTTTAATGTATGAATTATCCTAGAGACTGCTACATGAAAACTTGGGGCAATATGTGTTCTACTGTTGTTGGATGAAGTGTTCTATAAATGTCTGTTAGGTCTCACTGGCTTATAGAGTTGTTCATATCTTCCATTTCCTTGCTGATCTTCTGTCTGGAAAAGTGAGGTATTGAAGTCTCCAATTATGACTGTTCGTCTGCTTCTTCCTATAATTCTGTTGGGTTTTGCTTCATATAGTTTGAAACCCTGTTATTAGGTGCACATATATTTATAATTGTTATATTTCTTGACATTTTATCATTATAAAATGTTCTTGTTGTCTCTAGTAACTTTTTTCTTAAGGTCTATGTTGTCTGATATTAGCATAGTCATTCCAGTTCTCTTTAGCTAGTTTGCATGATATGTGTTTTCCATCCTTTTACTTTCAATTAATGTTTTTTAACCTGAAGTTTGTCTCCTGTGACAGCATATAGTTTAATCATGTGTTTTTAATCTATTCTGCCAATCTCTGCCTTTTCACTAGAATGTTTACTCCATTTACATTTAATGTTATTATTACTGTATAAGTTTGGATTTATACTTGTCATTTTGTTATTTGCTTCCTACTTATGTATTTTTCCCTCTGTTCTTCCGCTATCTTCTCTTGTGTTAAATAGATCATTTTGATTTTCATTTTTATTTAATTTAAATTAAGATTTTTTATTACTTTGTGAAGTTATCTTTTAAATCAAGAGGGGGAAAAGCTCATTTTCCTTGAATAAATATGTGTATTGATGCAAGTCTTTGACTAATTCTAGAAAGTTGATTCTGACTATTTTTGCCAATTTTCGTGTTGCCTTTTGGAGAAGAGAATTTTCAGAGGCTCTTACTCTGTCTTGTCTCAGTTTTCATGTGTCCATGAGATATTTTATGGCTTCTGAGTTTTGTGTCATGCTTTAAAGGGATTTTCCTCTCTAAGATTATTTCAACTATTTCCCGGTGGTCTTCCAACTATTTTTAAGTCAACTTTATTAAAATGTTATTTACATATAAGAAAATGCACACATTTTAATTATAGATTTTCACAAATGTATATGCCCATGTAACCACTAGCACAGTCATGATAAAGAACATTTATTTATTTATTTGTTTGTTTATTTATTTTGATTCGGAGTCTCACTCTGTCACCCAGACTGGAGTGCAGTGGCACACTCCCAGCCACCGCAGCCTCGACCTACTGGGCACCTGTGATCCTTCCGCCTCAACCTTTCAAGTAGCCAGAACTACAGGCAGGCACTACCATGCCTGGTTAATTTTTGATTTATTGTAGAGACAAGATCTCGCCAAGTTGCCCGGATGGGTCTCGAACCCGTGGGCTGAGGCAATCCACTCACCTAGGTCTCCCAAAGTGCTGGGATTACAGGCTGAGCCACCGAACCCGGCCGATAAAGAACATTTCAATCAAAAAAGTTCTTTCAGGCCCCTTGGCTATCATCCCCACTCCATCAATGCTCCCAGACCCAGCACAAAAATACTTTTTTTTTTTTGTCTTTGTATCTGTGTTATTTTCCCCTTATCATTTTTTTTATTTCACCCTTTTTTAGTAAGTTGCCCAATACTGTGTCTTTTGTTTCATTTTATTTTAAAGAATAAGTTCTTATCTTTATGTATTAGTTGTATCATTTTTCTCTTGTAAAACTAACTCACTATTTAAGTAAGATGTTTAATTATTGTTGTTAAGAATGCAAGTTTTCCTTTGAGCACTTCTTTAACTAAATCCTAAAGGTTCTGATATGTCGCCTGCATTTTTTTTTTTTTGCTTTGTTTCTTATCATAAAATTTAGAAGGTCAGTATTTCCATCTTAGAAGCTACTTTACTATAACAATGATTGCCAGCCATAGACTTCCTACTTGTGAGCAATGATGGAATCTATATTTCCTCTTCCCTACCACCCACTTGATTATATTATTTTCCTTAGTGTTTTCCTTTGTATTATTAAATATGCTTTTTACTTTTGACAAGTTCTAAACAATTCTAAATGCATTTAGACCATGGTAAGTTTTTCCCAGTTAGTTCTTTTTCATCTTTATTCTGCCTCCTTCCTTCTCCCCACCAGGCAGTCCCTAGTTATCTTAGCCAGGGGAAATGAGGGCTTAGTTGATTAGTGGGCAGATTGACAACTGCTGCCTCCACAAGGGACAGAAAGTAAAACTTAGGTTCTGTCAATCTGAGACACTTATCAGGGGATGCTCAGAACATCCTGCCAGACCCACCTAAAAATAGCATCACTAGGTTTACACAGCCTGGAGCCCAGGGCATTGCCCATGTCCCTTCTCCTGAGGTACCTAGACCAAGCTTAGGGACTCTCCAGGTGGTAAAAACCTCTTTATTGCTAGCTCACTGTGATTGTAATAAGACTAGGCCCCTGAGCATCCCATCCCAATGTGGGTAAAAACAGTCATATCTGTGGGAGATTGGTTCTAGGACACCCTGCAGATACCAAATCCATGGATGCTCAAATCCCTTATATAAAATGGTATAGTATTTGAGTCAAGGAAGTTCTTCTGCTTTCTGCCTGCATTTTGTAAATAAATGACATCTTGTGGTGTGACAGCATATGGTGGGACGTATAACCAGAACCCTCCTGTGTACTTTAAATCATCTCTAGATTACTTATAATACCTAATACCATAGAAATGCTATGTAAATAGTTGTTATACTATATTGCATAGGGAATAATGACAAGGGAAAAAGTCTGTACATATTCAGCACAGAAATGACTATTCTTTTTTGATTTTTTTTTTTAATATTTTCTATCCACAGTTGGTTGAATCCATGGATACATAACCCACAGATATGAAGGGATGACTGTATTTTCAAATTGAACTGTTTCAGAAGAAATCCTGGAAAGGCCCTTAAAGGTCCTTCCACCCCCAACCTGGACTAACTTTCATTTACACCTGACCATGACTACACCCTTACCATTTCCTTTTCCTTTTCCCCAGTACACTTTCTTCACTGGGCTGTTCCCAGCCTCTAGAGTTTAGATCAAAGGAAACAGTGCTGCCAGATGGCCACCTAGCTAAGAGACAGCCAGCTCTGGTAAGACTGATGTCTAAAAAGCTCTTTTATCTCCTGGTGCTTGAAACCCCTTTGTCCTGCCAGGGGACAGCCTTGGTGACTGTTTTCATATCTGTCTTTACTTCTGTTTCTTTTCTGCCCCATCTCTCACACCCCATTTGTTCTAGGTCTCCTTTAACTTACCACTAACCTTACCCCACAAGTCCCTACCTCCCCATCATATGCTGTCACACCGTAAGCTGTCATTTATTTACAAAGTGCAGAGAGAAAGCTGAAGAACTTCCTCGAGTCAAGCAAATAGATCTATATTTAGAGACATCATGAGAGAGGCAGAAAATACTTTTGAAGAAGGCTTTTTGGTGTCCCTTGAATCAAACTGCATTGCAATGTTCTGACCAGGAAAGGAAACCAGTTCCCCCACTGACTAGACAGACCAGAGATCATACAGCACAAGTTCTGAACCAGAGTCTTTTCAGTTTCTAGACCAGGTGATTAGTCAGATTTGGACCTTTTCCTTCCCCTGTTCAACCATGAAAAATTCACAAATCATTATTAGGTTTTATTTAGCCCAGTGTATAATAGCAGAAGAACCAGCATCGCGTGGAAGGTTGGAAGGAGAGGACTTCCCCAAGACATCTCAGGCATATCTGAGCATTACTTTCCCTGTCAGTAAAATCAGGACATTAGATTAGATCTTAAAGTCCCTAGTTGTTCAGATATCCTAAGGATCTGGCGCATGAGCTGGCTGGTTGGATGCACAGAACCTCAGGGGATGGTCCCCATGGGTTTGCAGTGTGGTGAGCAGCTTAGCTGGGTGGAATCTGATTGTTAGGTAGATCCTGGACTGACACACAGGAGCCTTCTCCACCCTTCTTTCCTCCCGGAAAGATGACTGTGGCATATGTCACAGGCTTGGAGCAGATTGTGACCTTAGGAGGCAGAGGGGGTAATGCGGATGGGGCTGGGGGTGAAGGTTTCCCTGATGGGGGATCAAGAGGTAGGCTGGTGTAGGTGGTGTTGTCGAAGGAAGGTGGCGAGTCAAGCCTAACATATGGTGCATCCAAAGGCAATTCAGTAGCTAGTCCAGAGTCACTGATGTGGTGGACCACTGGGGAGGGTTCCTGCAACAAAAACAAGCAAGTCAGGCAAAAAGAGAATGCTTCCTTCTGCCCTAATTCCTTTTAGTGGGAAGCCCAGGACTACACTGGATCTGTCTCTTGAATCCTGAGGATGTCAGTTGAGTGAGGGGACTTCACATTGAAGATTTTCAAGCCCCAAGTTTCCCCCCAATTCTGAGAAGGCGGGATACCAAGGGAGACCATTAGTGCCAAGTTTACAGCATTTGGGAGGATGACTTGGACACCAACTAAGTCCCAGTCCTTTCTCCACCCCATCATCCTGGGACCTCTCTGTGAGTGTGATGAATAGAAGGTCTGCAGAATTTGGCTTGGGGTCTGCAGAGGTCTCTTACCATGCCTGAAACTCTGCTGTTCTGGAATCGGTTGACACCAAGCCTGTTCCCTGGTAAGGCAGACGACAGTAGCATGGTCTGCTTCCAGGACTGGCTCGAAGCCCTTCCCCTTATCCCTGGAAACCTCACTGCTAGTGTAGACTCACCGTCCCCACTCACCACCAAACCTTCACTCCCTTCATCTCCCCAGCCTCTCCTAAGTCTCCCCCCACACATACTGCTTCCACAGTTCCTTCAGCCTGCCTGGGTGCTCAGCCTACCTCCTGAAACACTTTCCCTCACCTCCTTTGTCACCTTTCCTCCCACCCTACTGCCTCACTCTTTCCAATTTCTGTCTTTCCCCAGGCCTGCCCTCACTGATTCTTCTCCCCTCCCCTCCATCCCTCAGTCCTAGGAATTCTAGGGTGTGGGCGCCTTGACTAAAGCCCAGACAAGCCCATTTGTTTGGGGATTTGACCTAGATTCTTGGCTTCATCTACAAATTCCTGGTGGATACGGGATGGGTAGGGCCAGGTTAGGACAGGAAGATAGACAGTCACCTACCTTTCCTTTTGGCCAACAGAACAAACAGCACCACCGCTGCCACCAACAGGCCCAGCAGGAGCACAGCACCCCAGATCAAGGGGATGCTAAGGGACAGAAAGGGATATGCAGCTTAGCCCTGAACCCCATGGGGAGCTGCTGGAGCAATGGCAGAAGTGTCACATTCTTGGTGACCCATGGTTGAGATAAGGAGATAGAATGGAACAAGGAGGGCAGACACAGGATGGAAGAGGGGCATGTTAGGATATCCTGGGTGGAGATCCAGATGAAGAGACCACTGCTGACCTGAGATGGAGAGACATGTCTCTGTCTGCCAGTCTGAGAGGCGAGAGGACTCATAGGTTTTTCCCTTTGATTTAGTCTGGAGCTCTAAACGAGTCATCTTCTCCATCACCACCCTTCTCCAAGCCACCCAAGTCCAGTCTTGTCAGTACCTCTTCTCATTCTGGCTGGGTTCCAAAGGGCTGGCACTGCCTGCAGGATCTGAGGACGACGGGTCCTCAGCTAGACTGCCAATCTTGTGGGTCTCCTTTTCCTCCTCCTCTGTCAGGCCAGGAACTGTGTCAGAAGGAAATATTTGATGAGAGCATGGCCAGTAAGGGCAGCCTTCAATGCCCTGTGGCGGTTGGGGAAGTGGAGCCAAAGAAGGAGAGGTCCTGAGGGAGAAACACACAAGGCAGCCTCTCACTTTGTGGTCCTCTCACTTTGTGGGTCAGGAAATGGCACCGACTCTTTTTGTCTTTACCTGGTTGTGAATATACTCACCTTTCCCTCCACTACCTGCTCCCTCCCCCTTCCCGCTGCATTCATCCCCCTCATGCCTCTGATCTCATTAGGCTGTTCAGCCTGTGTAGAAACGCCCACTGGGCCACCTGTGCCCACCTCTGCTTCCCACTCCAGAACAGACTTCTCCAGCTCCTACCCTCAATGTTGACCTTGCTCTTGGTTTTCATGGCTCTCAAATGGGACCTTCCCACATTCCCACATACCTGTAACCCCATCTGCAGGCTGGTCGAGCCCCATCTTGAACTCAGAATTTAAGGAACTCCAGGTCAGCCCTGATGTTACACAATACCAACTGAGCCTTGTTGGCAGCCTGAGATTCAGTCTGGGGACACAACTTCGGACATTTCTATGATGTGCTTGACTTTTGTCTGCAGGACTCAGGATTGGTTTTTCTGGGCCTTGAGACCTGTCTTGGTAACATGGTCAGCCCCTCCAGACTGTCTGGAACAGGGGTCTTGCCTTGTTCTTGAGGGACTCTCCACCCTATGCCACTCCCCACCCTATGCCATGCCAGGAACTGTAGTCCCAATCTTGTAGCTCATGATCTGCCCTCCTCGTGCCTATTAGGCTGCCTTGGCTGACCCTTTCTGAAATTAATGCTTGCCCAAGCTGCAAGCCACACCCTCCCTGGGTACCGTGCTCCACCTGCCACCCAAACATCATCCTCTACCTGCCCCACTGCAGTGGACTGGAGCCTAGGTCCCTGCCTCACTGCTCTCTCTTTCCAGTGAGTTTCATCTAGTCTCAATTTGCCTTTTAGGGAGTGAAAACCTTGAGTTTAGTAACTCAGAGTGTCAAAGAATGAAGAGAACAAAGGTTGACAAATATTAACAAGAGTATATTTATACTATTTTTAATTTATACAATACTTGTACTATGAAATAATATTATATATTGTATAAAACAATAATATGAGATAATAATCCAGGCTTGACGTGAGAGGGATTCAACTCAGTCTACCCTCTTATTTGAAAAGAAAAACCAACAAAGGGAAAATGCCTTCCTTAATTTCATTATTTGGGGATGGAGCACAATTTACTTGAAAAAAGGAAGACCTAAAAATGAAAAAGGGTTAGTATCCATAAAAGAAAACTAGTAGCAGTCTATGCTTCAGGTAGCTGACCATTTTACCTCTAGAGTCTTTTTTATAGAACATCCTTCCTTTCTGAAAGCAATTTTTTTATATTTTAATTTTATTTTGATAAATGCTTACATACTAGAAAGTTGTGAGTTATGAGAATGAAACCTGTAAAAATATAATATTTTTATACTGAAAATAAGGTTGGGAATATTGATTTAAAATATTAGTAACACTTTTCCCTTTTTTTTGTTTTGTTTTGAGTCATAGTCTCACTCCATCGCCCAGGCTGGAGTGCAATGGTACGCTCATGGCCACCGCAGCCTTGACATACTGGGCTCAGGTGATCCTTCTGCCTCTGCCTTCCAAGTAGCTGGAACCACAGGCATGTGCCACCATGCCCAACTAATTTTTTTGACTTATTGTAGAGATGAGATCTTACCATGTTGCTGAGGCTGGTCTCGAATCCCTGAGCTCAGGCAGTCCTCTCACCTCCACCTCCCAAAGTGTTGGGATTACAAACTTGAGTCACCAAGCCCGGCAACTTTTCCCATTTTTAAAATCAAAGGACTTAAAGTAGTTCAGGCACTGCCTGTAGGTGAGACATGCTAGATGCTCACTGAAGACTTATGCAAATAATTAAGATACAAATTTTAAAATTCTTTTTTTTTTTTTTTGAGTCAGTGTCTCCCTCTGTCGCCCAGGCTGGAGCGCAGTGGCACAATCACGGCTCACCGTAGCCTCAACCTCCTGGGCTCAGACAATTTTTCCATGTTAGGCTCCTGAGTAGCCGGGATTACAGGCACTTGCCACCATGCCTAGCTAATCTGTTTTCATTTTTTCGTAGAGACAAGGTCTCACTATGTTGCCCAGGTTGGTCTCAAAATCCAGGGCTCAAGTAATCCTCCTACCTTGGCTCCCAAAGTGCTAGGATTACAGGCGTGAGCCACCACACCAGTCCATAATTCATCATTTTAAGCCATTAAACCCATTATTACAGAAGTAAAAAAACTGGAAGTTATAGCAATTAATTCCAGCTTATAGGCCTGAATTCAACTTCGTTTAAAATGCTTCTAAGTAAAAAAATAAAATTAGCACCAAGTATGTTGAAAATGCCAGAGGAGTCATCAAGGCCATGGGTGGGAAGGAGGATATGCCTTCCTGTGGGGAAGCCTGCTTGTGTGGGAGGGAAAGGGAATGGTTTTCAGGAAATTTATCTTGGACTCCCCAACTGGTTTGGTTTCCGCTCCCTGCAGAGCTGTCAAAAGTCTATCTCCTCCCAATGTCTCCTCTACCAGGGGCTCCCACTTCTCAGGACCCAAATACCCTGGCAATAGGTGGGAGTGGGGAAGGCAGGTCAGAGGGTGGTGGCTGGCCTAGGCTAACTCACCTGCGGGGAGCACCTCCAGAGAGACTCTGTGCAGAGTCTGGGGCCCCATGGCTCCCTCCACCACACAGCCGTACTCCCCGGCATCCTCCTCCTGCAGGGTAATCATTTCCACCTGCAGCAGGCCCCCTCCCAGGTCAGTGAGAAATGTGCGCTTGTCCCCTGGGGCGCTGCGATCCACAGCTGAGGACACCAGGGGCTGACACCCATCTGGCAAGAACCGGCACCACACCTTCCGAGCCTTGACATCCTGGAGTCGGTAGTGACATTGCACCAGAATGGAACTCCCCACGGGTGCCTGCAGCACTTCAGGGAGGCTGCCAGTGAAGCCCGGACCTAGGGAAGGAAAGGAGGCGGAGATGTCAGGAAGGAGTTGGGGTACTTCCCACGGGTGTAGGGACCCTGCACCTAGGATGTGGGAGTGGCAACCACAATAACAGCAATTACTTCTGGGCATAGGGCTGAGTATGGGAGGTGCAGAGTTGCATCTCTTCTGAGCCTTACCTTCTAGTCCCAGGAGCAGCAGCAAGAGCAGGTTGGGGCCCATGGCTAGGCAGAGAGATGTCAACTGTGTCGCTTGCCTGGGCACTGACACTGCATTCCCCTGAGGGCAGGAAACATCTGCCTCAGATAGTCACGTGGGGCCCTCAGTGATCGCAGTGTGGGAGACAGGGACTGGTGGGCACCTCCACGGGTGGGGTAAGGGAGCTCTTCCAAACCCTGGTTGGCTCAGTGCAGGCAAGGCCAGGTGAAGAGGCCAGCTGAAAGGTAGAAGCTTGGTGGACTGGAGGCCCAGCAAAGAGATGAGGTGGGAGGAGGGTCATGGCAATTGGAGGGCAAGAGAGAAAGGAAAGATGACCTTCAGGGTCTTTCTAACAGAATCTAAGGGTGCAGCATTGTTAAGGAGGAGGGTCAAGTGCCCTACACCTGGCCCAAGGTCATTCTGACTCTACATTCTTGGAGTGCCCTCCCCCAAGATTTCAGGAGATTGTCCTTTCTGTGGTACAACCTCAAACAGGTTGATGCTGTACCCTAGACTGGGTCTTTCTTCATGTTTTGTCCTGGACATTCTAGACAGGCCCTTTCCACCTGGATTCACTTTCTTCAGTTCTGGGAAACAGATTACTTCTTTGATAATTACTTCTCCATTCTCTTCCCCTTCTGTTTTTCTGCAAATCCCAAATTAGTTGGATATTAAATGTCATGTATTCATCTCATTTGTACAGCTCTTCTCTCTCATTTTCCATTTTTAGTCCATTTTGTTCTGTCTTCTAAGAGATTTCCTCATTTTCTTCCACCCATTCTATGGCTGTCTTTTAAATTTTTATGTTTAAATATTTTTAATTTGCAAGACAGGGTATCTTTCTTATTCTTTGAGTTTTTTTTTTTTTTTAAGTTGGAGTCTCACTCTATCCCCCAGGCTGGGAGGCAGTGGCATGACCACAGCTCCACCACCTGGGTTCTGGTGAGGCTTCCTCTTCAGCCTCTCAAGTAGCTGGGACTACAGGTGTACACCATCATGCCTGGCTAATTTTTGTATTTTGTGGAGATGAGGCCTCACCATGTTGCCCAGGCTGCTCTGAACTCCAGAGCTCAAGCAATCCTCCCCACCTCAGCCTCCCAAAGTACTGGAATTACATACAGATGTGAGCCACCATGCCTAGACTCTTTGAGTATTTTTAAATTATGGCATACTATTTTTCATGTCATGAATGCTTTATCTTCTGTTGGAAGACAATTCTTCAAGCATATTTTCACATTGCTGCATGTTCTGGATTTTCTAAGCAAAGGGCACTAATCAAGCTCTAAGCAAAGGGCACTAATCAAGAGCGATTGGATAGCAAACATGCCTTGAGAAATTTGCTCGCACTCACTGGAGATGATTTGTTTACATTTCATAATAGAAGTCTCTATCTCAATCTCTCTCTTCCACCCCCACCCCCACCCCCACTCTCGCTCACTCTCTGTCTCTCTCTTCAATGTGCCTGATACTCTCTATAAACTCCAAGTCTCATAATGTGGGGGTTCCTCTCCCGTGATGTAAACTCACTGCCTACACAGGAAACATCTTGCTTTCATTCACATCACCCTGGGGAATTGGGCTCTAGGGACAGAATGCGAGTAATAAACTGTCTGATCTCAGACTCCAGGGAGAGCACCAGTGGTCAGGGAGACTGGAGCAGCCTATAGGGGTAGGTAGAAGGGGCATAGTGCTCTGATCTGGAGGGTGAGACTTGGAAAGGGACTGAAAAAGCCATCCTCCCTCACTCCTCTCCTTCTCTGCTTCTCTCTCTCTCCTTCCTTCCTTTGGGAGCAAGGGAGTTGAAAATGGGAATGTGGAAGCAGGAGTCTGAGAAAGCTGGCTAGCGCGTAAAGCTGAGCCCAGTGGATGTGGGTGATAAGGTGACCCCTGTTTGCCTGAGACTGAAATGTTTCCTGGGACAGAGGACTTTCAGAGCTAAAACTGGGAAAGTGCTAAGCAACCAGGACAGGAAAGTGCTAAGCACCTAGTGGGTGATGTGGAAGTGCTTATGTCTCCTGCCAATACATATCAGGCTTTGATTCCCTTACAAGAAAGTGACTTTCACACTAACGAGCCACCTGGCAGTATTGTGTGAAGAGGAGAACTATATTCAACATCTAAGTGCCTCAAATGGATATGGTCCACTGCTGGCTGCTGGGACAGAGGTGACCAGTCAATATCCTGGCCTTTAGGGAGGCATTATGTTGCTGGACATTAGATGGAGGAAACCAGTGTTTATCAAGGGCCTACTATGTGCCAGACACCTGGACATGGACTTTTACAAATATTATTTCTCACAAAAACCCTGCAAAGCAAGAAAAGAGATTGTTTTATTTATTTTATTTATGTATTTATTGTTATTTTATTTATACAGGTATGGTGGACACTGAGGTTCGGGGAGGTTGAAGGTCTTGCCTAAGATATCTTAGTAGGCAACAAGGTTGAAATATGAGACCAAACGAATTCACTCTCCTTCAGCCGAGTGTGCCTCCAGAGAGTCAGAAGTAGGGGATCCCAGTGGCGACTCCACTCCAGAGGTGGATATCTCTGACATGGCAGAACAGGACAGAGAAAGACCAAGCTCCCAAGAGAAGAGCCTGATTCTGGGCTGGGGCTGATGGCAGCCACTATGCTCGAGTGCCAGGCATGCCCTAGGGAGCCTCCCATGCCCATTTTCAGCACGGATACCTACAATGGGGGCAGGAGACAGGTGGAAGCTCGGCTCCGTGTTGGTGCTCACACAGCACCTTGGATCTGCAGGAAGGAGGCCACAGCCTCAAGACACAATGAGGAAGTCTAACCTGCTGCCAGTCAGGAAGGCCAAGGAAACGACTGGGCCAGAGTCCCAGAGCTCTGGGGTAGGACCCAATGGAGCAGCCTGAGTTGGGAGTGGGCAAGGCAGGGGCCAAACACAACTGGGACAAGGGAAGGTGGGGAGCGATGTGTTGAGGTGAGGGCACTGTCTGAGGCTCCTTCCTAGTGATTCAAAATCGCAGGTGCCCAGGCCATGGTTAGGTGACAAGGCAGCCATGTGTGGCCATGACCAGAGCAGCTACTGGGATCCACCTCTCTGAGGACCTGTACAAAGAGCCCAAGGATGTGGCCGATTCATTTTCTCTCCCCTCCAACCCCCCTCAGGGAACCCCCCTCAGGGAAGCCTCTTCCCAGTTTTCCCCTTACTCTGGCGGGTGTGGTGTGTATGTATTGAAGAGAAAGATAAGCTTCCATGAGCTTCCCTGGCTGCTCCCTCTGGCCTGAATGTTCTTCCGCATGACGTCCTCATGGTTCACTTCTTCACTTCCTTCGAGTGTTTCTCAAGTGATACCCTGTGGCTGCCCCATGTAAAATGGCAATATCTTCCATGCCCCCTGCACACCAATATTCTTAACCCTGCTTTATTTCCATTCTTTCTTCAGCATTTTTTGCCCTCTAACATGCTATCATTCGTACTTATTTACTGTGTTTGTCGGTCTCCCCACTCCTCCCACTAGAACGTGATCTCTGTGTGCACAGAGCTCTGCCTATTTTGTTCACTGTTTTATCTCCAATGCCCAGAATAGTACCCAGCACAGACTAGGTGCTCAAAAAAAATTTGTTGAATAAATGAGCCGGAGTGAGCTAGAGGGAAGGGCACCTTGAGTGTCAAGCAAAATGTAGATTTCCAGGTTCTACTGGGGAACTTTCCCTCTTCAAGTGTTTCCCTTTCCCTCCTCAAGCCTCAGTTTCCCTTCTATAGGCTGAGGGACTTGAACCATGAGTTCCCAGCTCTGACATGCTGCACCCTATGACTCAAACCCTCATCATTTCTCTGGAGGGGAAAGCACATGATGAAAGAAAGCTCTAGGAAGATGAGTCAGCTGCAAGTCGGATGAACTGAGGGTGTGGAGAGTGATGCGGGGGCAGGGCCTGCAGGATGCTGCAATCCAAGGGAAGCTGATGGAGAGGGAGGGGAGGAGAAGAAGATTAGATGCTAGAGAAATTCCAGAGAAGGAAGCGGGACTTGAGGATTTGGTCTAGGGAAGGGAAGAGAGAGAAAAAAAAGACTGGTCAGACTGAAGCACATGAGAATGGAGAGACATGGTACCCTAGGCCCCAAAGAGTGAGATCTTTTGTCTTTTTCTCATATGCATTCATTCTTTTAGACCTACAGGGGAAAAAAAATGAGAACTTCATGAAGCCCAAACCATCCAGTTAAATACGACAGTCTTGAATTTGTTTGTAAATGTTTAATGTCCAACGCCCAAAAAGTGACAGGCAATCTTCCCACCTCCCCCGACCCCACCCACAAGACCCCGCTTCTGGTGCCAGGAGAAGCAGGGTGCAGGCGGAGTAGCCTCTTGCCAGAACAGCAGCAGGAGTCTTGGTGGCCAAGGGGTGAGCATGTAGGCTGGGCTGGCCATTCACCGGCCCTCTCCCGGGTTTCCGCCACTTGGTCCTCTTCTCTCATGTGTCTCTCATCCCTGCAACAGTCTGAGTCCTCACGTGGCCCCTCTCAGCCCCACCTCCCTTCCCTGCCCGGTCCACCCCAGCTATGGCTGTACTCTCCTAGCTCACCTGCCAGGGTTTGGAGCTGGTGCCCTGGGTCAGAACCACTGTCCAGTTCACTGGGCTGACGTGTCCCCAGCTTCTTCCCATGCCAGGCTGCAGCCCAGAGGGCGCTGGCTGCTAGAAGCTTGACAAGAATGATGCAGGCCAGGAGGAGAAGGATGGAAGTGGGTGGGAAGGGGGTCTCTCCTTCCGGAAGCCTCCTTGGAGAGATAAAGAGGGCAGGTAGCAGCCTTGAGATGGCAGACTGGAGTATGCCCTCAGAGAAGGAGCGGAGAAACCATGAGCTTCTAGTGGCTCAGGGCAACTCCCCATCCAGCCCCATCCCTGGGATGGGGCTTTGTGGGATTTGGGAAGCCCATAGTGAAAAGACCTGGGTTCTAGGCATGGTCTGTCACTAAGCTGCTGAGTGCACTTAAACACATCTCCTTCCCTCACTGAGCAGTTTTCTGCTGAACATAGTGGTATCCTGTGTGTGTAGGAGAGGGGTGGGGGGGTGTACATGCATATGTGCTCGTGCTCAGTGGTTATGTCAACGATGTTTAAACACCAGTATACAGGCCTGGACCAGTAGAACTGATTCTGGTCCTACCAAGGGAGGGGGATCTGGGGTTCCCAGCTTTGTACTGAAGTACTAAAACTTGCAATGTGGCTGAATTATGGGCACGTTTGGGGGCTGCCAAGGAGGGGTGGGGCTGCCTATTCAGGAGTTTTGGAGCAGCAACTTCTCACTGCTGTTATGGAAGTCTTCTTTCAGTATCTTAGCCACAAACCCAATCAGGAACATACACACTAGCTTGTTGGAGGGGTGTTTAGGCAAGACATCTCCAGGCCCTTTCAGACTCTAATTGCCTTGGAATTTGTAGCTCAAGACCCCCACACTCCACCCCATGCCGGGCTTTGCAGGGTGGAAGTCTGCCCAGGGGTCTTAGGAAATATCCATTGCCGTACCTGGAGATGCTGTGCTCCACTTGAGCACCTTCAAAGCTCTCGGACTCTTCGGGGACCCAGAGATCTCCAGTGTCCTGGTGATCCAAGGGGTCTGTGGGAGACAGAGCTGTGAGCTTCTGTCCCCACCCCACCTTGAGACAGCCCACCTTGGTGGGAAAAAACCCTGTGGGCGGAGCAAAGTCCCTGGGGCTCTGCTCCTGCGTGAATCAAGTCATTAACCTCTCTGAGCCTCAATTTCCTCACCTATCAAGTACATGAACGTACTTGAAAATCCTTTCTAAACTGTCAAGCTGTCTACACAAGCCATGGGTTACTATTAGTATATTATGACCTTTCTGTCACCCTCTGGGAGTTGGCTGAGTCTTGGACCTTGATGGGGTTGAAAATTTGTGTCTCTTCACCCCCTGCCCCTAGAAAAGGGGTGGAGGTAGGGTTTGTGTGTAGGGTGGGGCAGTCTCCCCTGGCCTCCCCACCTTAGGCAAATACTACTCTTGACCTCACCTCCATGGTCAAGGGCCACACCAGGGGAAAGAGTCAGGAAGGAGAGAGTCAGGAAGAGCATCTTAGCCCCGATTTTTTCTCCTTTGGGACACAGTTGTGTCCTGGAGACTTGGGTAGAAGTCTTTCCAGAGTATGGTCCCTGTTCAAAACTTAGAGGTGGGGAGGTGCCGCCCTCTCCCACTTGCTCAAGTCTGGAATGAGGATATCAAGTCACTTCAGTAGCAGGTGGCTTGGAGCAGGTTATCACTCCCTCTCCCAACCCCCAAGAACTCACAGGAACTCATGAAGACAGGACAGTCACCATCCTCTCCATTTAAAGATGAGGGAACGGAGACCCGGAGAGTGAAGCACAAGCTCAACTCAGTACATTGCTCAGCACAAGCAAGTAAGTGTTCTTTTCCAGAGGTGTCTCTCTCCATCATTTGGTGTTTAATTTATGTTGATAGATCCATTGGTTTGTTGGGTGAGGGAAAAAATTAACCTCCTCCTCCTTTTCCTTAAGGACCACCATTAGTGTTCACATACTAACCAGATGTCAAATGGAAAAGGTGTTTTCAGAAGCAGGGCCAAGGCTAGCTCAGGCAGTACCTTAACGCAAATTAAAGAAAGGTGCCTCTCCTGCATGTGATGAAGCCCTACATCCGGAAGCACAGCCTGGCAAAGGGAGTCTGGGCTGGATTTTGGCTCCCTTGTGCAATCAGCAACCTGCACAACTTTTCTTGGACTCCCTGAGTGGGGAGAAGAGACCCGCCTTGTGGGTGTGGTGTGGTTTCCCTGAGAACCCAGAGGGTGGTCCAGCACACAGATGCCCAAAACATGAGGCCTGGCCCAGGGACAGGCCACAGGTGTGGTCAGCTCAGCTTACCTTCCAGCACCTCCACCAGGACCTTCCTGAGGGTGTTGGCCTCGTTGCCATGGAGGCTCTGGCACTGGTAGAGGCCGGCGTCGTGGGCTTGAAGATTCCGCAGCGTGATGGTGAGGGTGCCGCCCAGGGCATCGTCTGTGATGGCTGTGCTCCCGTTCCGCCTCTTCAGGAAGGACAGCAGCCACACGTTGTGCGTGCTGACCACACGCTCGCACGGACCCTCCTCGCCCAGCTGGCGGCACCAGGCCTTGCGCCTCCCCCAGTGCTTTATGGAGTCGTAGGGGCAGGAGACCCGTAGGGCCTGGCCCTCCACACCCTGGAACACTGTGGTGTTGTAGGCTTGGGATAGCTCTGAGAAGGAGACATTCATTCACTCCTTTGTTCATTTACCAAAACAAACACCTACTATGTGCAATGAACCAAACAGACAAAAATTTTGCCCTTCAGGAGATTATATTCGTGTGCATGTGTGTGTGTGTACATTTTTTTTTTTTGAATCAAGGTCTCACTCTGTCATCCAGGCTGGAGTGCAGTGGTATGATCGTGGCTCACTACAGCCTTCTCGATCTCCTGGGCTTAGGCGATCCTCCCACTTCAGCCTCCCAAGTAGCTGGAACTAAGGGCACGCTTCACCTTGCCTGACTAATTTTTTTTAATCCTTTGTAGAATCGAGGTCTTCCTGTGTTGCCCAGGCTGATATAAAACCCCTGGGCTCAAGCGATTCTCCTACCTCAATCTCTCAAAGTGCTGGAACCATAGGCATGAGCCATGGCACCTGCTAGGAGTTTAGATTCTTATTCAAGTTGGGAGCAGATGGCACAGCCTATGCATGTGCTTGTGTCAAGTTCCGAGGTCTAGTTCTTTCTTTTTTTTTTTTTTTTTGTAGAGGTGAGCTCTCACCAAGCTGCCCAGGCTGGTCTCGAACCCGTGGGCTCAAATAATCCACTCGCCTTGGCCTCCCAAAGTGCTGGGGTTACAGGCTGAATCATGGAGCCAGCCTTTGTGTGTGTGTGTGTGTGTGTGTGTGTGTGTGTGGATGTGTCAGAGTCTCACTCTGTCACCCAGGCTGGAGTACAGTGCCACACTCATGGCCACCACAGCCTCGACCTGCTGGGCTCAGGTGATCCTTCCAGCTCAATCTTCCAAGTAGCTGAAACTACAGGCACACACCACCATGCCCAGTGAATTTTTTTGATTTATTGTAGAGACAAGGTCTCACCAAGTTGCCCAGGCTGGTCTCGAACCTGTGGACTCAGGCAATCTTTCACCTCTACCTCCCAAGGTACTGGGATTACAGGCATGAACCACCAAGTCCGGCCTGGGTCTAGTTCTATTCTGCACATCTCCTCCCTGTCACATGGGACTCAGACCTCCCCTCTTGCTTTTCCACCTCAAGAGAACAGGGCCAGCAGCCTTCTCAGGCCTGAGGCTGGTTCCATAGGGGCTGGGCATCCCCTCCTTGCCTGACCTCCCTTGCTCTGCAGCTGCCCACATGGTACTGACTCCTCATTCTCCTCTCTCCTGACCTTTAGCTAACAGCTTCCCTGTTTCTGTGGCTTTGTTCCCCTTTCAGGAAGGACCCGTCTCAGAGTTATTTTGGGGACGACATGGGGCTGCTATTTGGGGAAACTTCCTTGGGGTGGGGGAGATGGGCTTTGTGCACCAGCCTATTGCCAGGGCTTCGTGCACTAGCTTGTTGCCAGGACCAGCACTGCAGGAAAATCGCCCAGAGCCCTCTGCTCCCATTCTTCTCTTGGTCCTCCCCTTCATGCCATCCTCAATCCATCAATCCATTACTGTGACAGAGGATTGAAAGGGTCTTTTTTTGAGTTGGGGGGTCTCACTCTGTCACTCAGGCCGGGGTGTCATGCCGCATCATGATCACGGCTCACCACAGCTTTGATCTCCTGGGCTCAGGCAATCCTCTCGCCTCATCCTCTCAAGTAGCTGGGACTATAGGCACACACCACCATGCCTGGCTAATTTTTGTTTATTTTTATTTTTATTTTTTTGTAGAGATGGGGTTTTGCTATGTTGCTCAGGTTGGTCTCGAACTCCTGGGCTCAAGTTATCCTTCCGCCTCTGCCTCCCAAAGTGCTGTGATTACAAGCATGAACCACCTTGTGCAGCCATAAGATAGGATCTTGAAAGGCAGCATCGGCAGCTGGTGGTCTGCCTTTGGGAACTAGAGAGACCCACTGTGAGGTGTCCCTCTCCACACATCACTTCGTTCATCCCTCAGCCTCCAGGTGGGCCAGCACTTACCAACTCACTCCTCCCACCTCCAACTAAGAAGCTGCAGGAGCAAGACTCCATTTGGGACCATCTGTCCTCTCACCCAGGTTTTCCCATTGCTCTGGGGAAACAAGACAGGTGCCTTTTCCCCAATGGGAGGAGGCAGTTGTGTGCAAAAATTTGGAATGTCAATCTCCCCAACTCATTAAAAAAAGATCTTCAGCTCCCTCACCTCCCATCAAGAGCTGAAGTCAAGGGGTCCAAGGGATCGTAAGAGTGGGGGCAAGGCATGGGGAAGATTCCCCCAAGATGCACATGAACAGCCCCAGGTTCTTTCCTCCTTTATAATTTTTTTTTTTTTTTTGAGTTGGAGTCTCACTCTGTCGCCCAGGCTGGAAGGCAGTGGCATGCTCCCAGCCACTGCAGCCTCAAACTGCTAGGCTCAGGTGATCCTTCCGCCTCAGCCTTCCAAGTAGCTGGAACTACGGGTATGCGCCATCACGCCCAGCTAGTTTTTTGATTTATTGTAGAGATAAGGTCCCGCCAAGATGTCTAGGCTGGTCTCGAACCCGTGGGTTCAGGCAGTCCTCTCACCTCGGCCTCCCAAAGTTCTGGGAATATAGGTGTGAGCCACCGCATCCAGGCCCTCCTTTATAATTTAAAGGCCCATAATTAGTGGCTCATATTTTTAGGAGCTCTTATCATGTAAGAGCATGTTATGAAATGCTATAACATCTGCCAAATTCTTTTTGAAAGTGGTTATACCTCTTTTTCATCCTTGTCAACATTTCATATTGTCAGGTCTTTTTAAGCCTTTCTAATAGGTTTAAGGTGATATTCCAAAGCTTCCCCCAACTGCCAGCTATACCTGAGATGCCAACATCAGAACTCCTTCCCTTCCCATTGAGCCAGAGGCCACCAGCTCCTTTCATGCCCGCATGAATGAAGTGTGATGGCGGGTTTTGATACTGAAGAGAGAGGGATGGCCTGAAGAATACAGGCAGAGTGGGGAGGAGAGGGGTGAAGAAGAGAGCACTTGGACACACCGAGGGCTTCAACCTCCTTTATAATTCTGCCTAGGGCCCCCTTTCTCATGCTGCCAACCACATCCTCAGGAAAGTGAGGGGAAAAAGGCTTGGTTGGGGAGGGAGGGGATCCTACCTGTGACCAAGAGCAGGACAAGCAGCCGGAAAGGCTCCATGCCACCCTTCCTTGCCAAGAGCAGACACAGAGTGCCTTGTGCAAGACTTCGTCTTTCCCTTAAACTGCAGAAAAGAGAGGATCAGGCACGTCAGGCGCTGCCCACAGGAACCGGGCTCCTGGAGATTGAGCAATAATCAGGACTGGGGTCTGGCTTTATGATTCAGGGAGGGGTGCAGCATGGGGGAGGAAGAAGGAGAAGGAATCTGCCACTGCAGCCCTGGCAGGAGGCTGGGGCTCCCAGACCCCTGAGACGCCAACCCACCCTCCTCCCAGTGCCAGTCAGGGCAGCCCCTACGTGGCTGGGCTGGTCGAAGTCTGGGTCACTCAATGTCCTTCCAGAGTCTAGCCTAGGGGCCACTATCCTTACAAGTGTATTCAGGCCCTCTGCCGGCCACAATACCCATCATCTTCTGTTTCCAGCCTCACAAGAGTTGGAGAACAGCTGCTTCTCTTGGAATCCAGGACCCCCACTCAGCCCCTCCTAGTCCTTCCCTCTGGGGCTAGCATTCCTGTAGTGTGACAGCAGTTAGGAACATGACTCCAGGGCCAGACTTCCTGGCATTGAGTCCTTCCTTACTCCCTGAATGTATAACCACATGTCCATAACTCCTCCGTGTCTCAGTTCCCAGATCTGTAAAATGGGAATGATGATGGTGCATAGTTATCAGGAGCATAGCATGGGTTCCCACAGGTAAAGCACTTTCCAACAGGGCTTGACACACAGCACTAAACAGATGTTAGCTATTACTATTATTCTTGTTAGCAGGGAAAATGAGCTGTCTGTGAGAAGGAGAATTTTCTCTCCTACTTGGAAGTTCCTGCCCAAGTATAGCCTCCTTTAAACAGTTGGGTGTCTACTGTGTGCACACACTCACAGTGGTTGTTTATTTTGTGCACACAAGCTCAGACTCCTGATTGTCTTACAAGACAGAACAGGACAGTATAGGACAGCACAGTATAGAACTTTCCTGGAGTTCTGGGAGTAGGGGGTGTGCTTTTCTAAAGATATGGGTCTCCATAAAGGGTGATCCAAGCACAGGAACCCACATGTGCAAAGGCACAATACTGTGAAATGGCCCAGTGAGTCAGGGATGGGGTGGGGGAGACTTGAAGCAGTACCCTGGGTGGGAAATTGAGTTGTGCTGGGGTTTGTAGTGGGAGAGCCTGGAGAAGCCAGCAAAGGCCTGCAGACTATCAAAGTCCACCTTAGTTTCCTGCAAACACTCATTTATTTGTTCTTTTATTTATTTATTTACTCATATTTACTGTGCATCAAGCACATGGAAAGTGCTTGAGATGGGGAGTCCATGGAGAAGAGATGACAGTCATCCACTTAGAGGGCCAACAGCCTAGTCTTGCCTAAGGCCTGGGGGTAAGGGCTGAGGCCACCTGAAGCTCACTTTCTAGGTACCCTTCTATGGCCTTTTTCTAAAAATCAGATGTATTGCTACATAATTTAGATATATGTATGAATTTTGACAAACACATCTCTGTAACAACCACCACAATCACTATGACTTTGTAACACCAAAATATACATGGGGACCCCAAAAAACTGGAATTTATTTGTTAAAAATTGTGTATTTATTCTTACAGGTTTAAACTTCAGTTATCTTCAAAGTACTCTGCATTCGATGCACTACACCTATCGAGATGCTTTTTCCACTTCTCAAAACAGTTTTTGAACTCATCGATTTTGATGCCTTTTAGTACTTCGGCTGTTTTTTGTTTCACCTCTTGCACATCAGCAAAACATGTCCCTTTGAGGACTTTTTTCATCAAGCGAAACAAAAAAAAGGTCACTCAGGGCAAGATCGGGCAAATGGGGAGGGTGGGCCATTTACCTGATCTTTTCCGTTTTGGGTCAAAAACTGCTGAAAACTAGGCATGGTGTGGGCAAGTGCATTGTCATGGTGGAAGAACCGGTCACCCATTTGCTACAACTCGGGATGTTTCTTCCTCAAATCATGATGTAACCTTCTCAAAACTTCCAGATGAAAACTTTGACCGTTTGATCCAGAGGAACAAATTCTGAGTGTACTCCAAAAGATAATTCCAGATTTGATTGGGTTCCCCTCACAGAACTTTTTTATTTGCTCAAACTAGGTATCTTGTGCCCATTTTAGCCAACCTGTCTTTTTTATCCAAGCCCTGGCATCTACTGATTTGATTTCTGTCCCTAGACCTTCCTGCCCTTTCTAAAATGTCATATACATGGACTCGTGAAATATGTAGACTCTGAGTCCATCTTCTTTCACTCATCGTGATGCATTCAATATGCATGAAGTTGTGCTTCTCAGTAATTCATTCCTTTTTATTGCTGAACAGTATTTCATTGTATGGTTGAACCACCAGGTAGTTTACACATTTACCATCTGACTTAGGTTGCCTCCAGTTTGGGGCAATAATGAATATAGTCACTATAAATATTCATATACACATATTTTATATGGACATATGTTTTCATTTCCCCTAGAGTGGGAGTGCTAGGTCATGTTTCAATGCATGTTATAAAACTCTATAAAATCTGCCAAATTCTTTTTGAAAGTGGTTGTACCATTTTTTCATCCTTGTCAACACTTAATATTATCAGGTCTTTTTAAGCCTTCCTAATAGGTTTAACATGATGTCTCATTATGGTCTGAATTTGTGTTTTACCAATGACTAGTGATATTGAACATCTTTTAATTGTTTATTTGACATCTACATATCTTCTTTGGCAAAGTATTAATACAAACTTTGTCTGTTTTTAATGTTTACTATTATCATTATTACTCAGCTGTGAAATTTATATATTCTGGATACCAGTTTTTTTAATCAAATATGTGATATACGTGATTTGCAAATTATTTTTCTGTAACTTGTGTTCTCATTTCCTTAACAGCAATTTTCAAATGGGTAGGTTTTAAAACTATTTATTTCTTTATTCAGTTGTTTATTTTTACACACCCTCATGTCCAGGGTTGATTGTCAATAGATTACAGCAAGAGAGCTGCTCTGTTAAGCATGAAACTCCACCCCAGAAGCAGGTCCTCTACCAATGATTTAGCACCAGTTTACCCACTAACATGCTTTGCACAATGGGCAAAGGGGCTGCTCCTTTCAAGTCCCATTCTGAGTCCCAGGATGAAGTGCTTTCCACACTGACCCCAGTCTCAACAGGTAGTGTGGACTGGCTATTTGGGGCTATCTGAGGCCATCTGAGGTCCCCCAGCACCACCCCATCAGCTCCTCAGCACTAGATATCTGAACCTAGATGTCTGAACCTATGGTTCCTCTGTACTGAGCAGGATTACCATGGCAACAGCCCATCATCAACCATCCCTATTAGTGGATGAACAGCCCAACCCTTGCTGAATTCTGTTTCACAATGATAGGAAGAGCCAACATCCAAGTATCAAAAAGCAAAGTCGCTCTGGACACTTGACCACTGCAAGTCAGTTATCCCTGTGGTCACTTTTCTGACACCTGATTAAAACCCAAAAGGTCAGAAAGATGATGAGGCCTGGAATTCACTGTCCATATTCTACTGAAAATCAAGATGAGTGAACCTTCACCCTTGTGCTCCATGGAGGTTTCTGAGCTCCCTTGAGATACCTGTGTCACCTAGGACAGGTGTACCGACCCTCACCACTAACCGGATCAGTGAAAAACCTGTAAGAGTAGTGGTATTTCACCTGCCTGGTTGGGGGGCACTTATTCTACACCTCTCCTGTCTCCTTGCCTACCAGAGAAGAGTCAGCTCAACAGGGTCTTCTTTCCCCTGGCTCCACCAAGTCCTGTCCTTGGTTGTGGTTTGGCTGGACAGCCCTGGACGGAGAGTACCTCCTCCACCCATTCCTGCCTCACTAATTGGATGAGGAGGCATGTGGTCACTTTAAGAAAATCACAGTTACTCCCACCGTTGACTGCACTTCATTGAATTTTTAAAATTTGATATTCAGAGCACTGGGCGGAAGTCACAGGGCATCAACATTGCCAATGCTTTGTTTTAATTAAACAGTCGATTCACCTGGTCCCCAGTTCTAAGTCTTGAGGGTCACTAAGGTGGAACCTCGGACCTAGGGGGCCCCCAGCGGGGGTGGGGGAACCAGTGAGCGGCCTGCGCTGGTTAGGGGGACTGCAGGAAGGAACAGCGGAGGAGTTGGGTTCCCCGGAGGTGGCCCCAACGCCCAACACAGCTGGGGTTATTCATGGGAGGACCTGGCTGGAGTCCAGAATCGCCACCGCCGCCAGCCACCCCCTTGCGGGGGCCGAGGCCCCGCCGCGGCCTGCCCATTCCCCTCAGGAGGGGAGAGAGGAGGGAGCCACTCTGGCAGTCGGGATGGCAGAGAGCGGAGCAGGACGCGGGGGTGGTGACGGGGCGGGGGAGGGGAGCCCCAGCCCAACTTGGCGCCCAGCCCGACCCACCCAGCTCTTGGAGCCGCTTTCCCTTACCCACGTTGTTCCAACATGCCAGAGGCCGTTCTCCTTGGAGACCTGCTGACGACGTGGGTGGGGTCGAGTGCAAGATTTCCACCCTCTCCCCGGAAAGTCAGCGAGAGTCACCGGAGCCGCCCAACAGATGGCCTCCGAGGCACGGCCCCTCTCTTGGGGCGAGTCCATTCCAGGACGCCATGCCCTTCGCACAGGGAAGAGAACTCGCCCGCGCTCTGCCGGCTTCTCCGGACAGGTCGCCAGAGGCGCTGGACGCCTGGGCGCGCATCTCCCCCACTCCCAATTCGGGGATCCGAACCCCCCTGCCTTTCTGTCGGCTGAGGGCACCGGGGGCCATCCGTTCCCTTCTCTCAGGACGACTGACCCACGTTCAGCTACTGTCCACGTGGAACCCTTCTCCAACTGGCCATTGAATTTCTCCCTGGAGTATTTGCTGCGAACGTCAAGATCTGCACCTGCGCCCGCGCCCCC